CTTCATCTTGTTGACCCAACAGTTTCTCATCACCACTATCTGTTCCCTCTTCATGCATTCTCCCAGACAAGGTTTGCTCATACTCCGATGTCCAAGAAGCAGAATCATCAGAGGAGGAATCATTATAGCTGTCAAAGCAGGTGGAGTCTTCATCTTCATGGTCAAAATTTCCTGGCCATTCGCTGATTCTGATAAAATCTCCATCGAAGAGCGTAATATCATGCCCAATCAGGTAGTTGCGTCCCCTGACAGTAGCATAACACTCAGACAGTCCTCGACAAGCATGCCCTGGAAGCGCAATGTTGAAGAGGGTTTCAACTTGCACCCTGTTGCCCGTTGGCCATAACAATGCAGATCCCAGCATAACAGTTTCCCGATGCGTTGCCTCGATCAAAACTGGTAGAAATTCAGCTGCTCTTTCTGGATACAGAATTAGATGGAGTCGTGCTCTCTGTTGATACACTGGAGGAGGTTCGACTTCAACGAAAGCATCCTCAGATCCCTGTGACCCAGTGAGATCGAAAACTCTCAGCCAGGCAGGGTCGTCTTGTCGAGTAGCTTGGCCATAGCGCCTAAACCGTGTACAGTATTCATGAGGCCTGTCGTTTCGGTGCAGCCAAACATACAGGAAGCCATCCCCACCAGAGTGTTTCCGCATATAATCTCGAATACGATATGTCAATGATGTGCCATGAGGAACGGTGACTTGCATGAGAGCCTGGTCTTCTACTTCATATCCACACTGTCTGTTTGCTTGTCTTCGACCTCGAAGAGTCAGGACAAAACTCATGCCATGACGACAATCAACCTCATCCAGGTAATGCCACTCTCGAGGTTCTACCTCTCCAGCGCTCTCCAGGACACAGGTGTACGTTGTGGAAAAGCAAACTTCAGCAAGTCCAAGTTTGAAGAGAATATCCCTGACAGTCTCATGTGGTTGATACAAGACTGCAACTCGTTTTGGACTGCTGGGGTATAGTACATCGATGAGGTACACCCGCATAGCTTGCTGATACTGCTCGTCTGTCAAAAGAACTAAATCAACTGGGAAAACACGAAGTGTCAGTGGCGGTGGTTGTGGCGTCGCCAGGGTCAACCAGTAAATTTGGCTCTCGGCAGTGGCTGCAACAACAGTCAGCAAAGATCGCGTATATGACCGCTCCCTATGCATGACACATACATCGGCAAAAGGGGCAACAACCCTGTGTATAAGCCATACATAGGCACTGAAAAAGGTTCTGTCACCAATTGCGAGTCTGTGACCTAGGTAGGCTCTTAGTGGGTCGCCATGTTGAAGCTGAAAGTGACTGATCTGGAGAAGGTCATCGTAGACCATATCAGGAGCAGCCTGTGTGATCTGGCCAAGCTGCAGAAAGTCAGCTCCACTATTTTCTTCGGCTTCGAAGATCTGTTGCCATGAAAGCTGCACAATGGAAGTCACATCGACATCATTGTGGCTGTCGTTGGATTGCAATTCTGTAGCACCAATGCCATAAATAGGAGTTGCAGTGTTCTCTCCTGGCAAACGCCTCTGATAGTGCGCCTGAGGAGTTGCAGTGTTTACTCCTTGTTGCAAGAGTGCAGCCTCATCTTGTTCTAGTAGGTCATCTGGCCATGACTGGTTTCCACCAGAAGAACTGCCGGAAAAGTCAGACCCATCATCAGTGGATGAACAGGAGCTATCATCCCTGACCTCTTCTTTGAAGGCCAGCAGAGCTCCTTCGTAGAGAATCAGTCGCGCCCACCAATCATGGGTAACAGTCCCTATTGTAAGGGTACAGTCATGTTGCCAGACACATAGATTCGCAGGCACCGCAAGATCAAACAAATCAGAAACCCTCCAGTTCCTGACAGGTCCAAACAAGAAGGTGCCCATCCAATTGCGACTTGGCGTGCTCACCCTACCTAAAACAACAAAGTAAGTCTCAGGGAGCACTGGCACAAGTATAAAGGTCGGTTTTCTTGGCACAGGGCGGACAGTGACAACATGCACACTGGGCCGGACTTGATAGTCCCTCCAAGCTCTAGTAAGCTGCTCCCTAATAGGTTGCATGATACTAACCTGTAGGGGCCTGTGTAGGAAGGACCATTGGTTTCTTTGATCCCAGAAGTGCACCCATGTCGAAACTTGCCAATGCCCAGCATTGTAAACATTAAGGACATACTCAGCGAGATGGTCCCTAAGAACTGGTCTCTGCATATAACTCACAGTGTCATGGTCCCTACGAAAGTCAGCAACTGAACTGGTGTCAGTGGTAGGCACAAAACGTAGGACAAAACTTGCATCACCGTAAGGTGAATTAGCTCGACAGGTACCTGGAGCATCGAGAGGCCACGAACCATCAGCAAGGACAGTATTATGACCACCGATAGGGCCTTCTAGATGACATTTAGCTTGTCTCAACTGGTGCAAGGGTCCGTAAGGCGAAAAGACAGCTTGCTCCTCAATATGCTCAGTGACAGCATGATCAACACCATGTCGATGCACAGTGTTCGCAACCTCAACAACCTCCCCAGAGACAATCTGAAGGAGAAGGAAAAGGTGCAACCATCTGACCTTAGCAACACGATGCCTATGGTATGGCAAACGTCTCCCTTGTGCAAATCTGCTTCTGCCAGGGAAAGGCATTGTTTCATCACATCTTTTCCGGAAGCAAAGAGTCACAGCAAGCCAAAGTATCAAGACCATGTGGCTGCGGAATAGGAAAACAAGAGCCTTCGCTCCATCAAAGCTATCATGATTAGGCTCAAAACTCGCACATTCCAGCAAAACACCTTCAAGAGCACTCGAGAAAAGGAAACCAAGAATAGCATCCCGAAGGACACCTTGCCTTGGCAATCGGTGAAGGCGTTGTCCCCTCCAAATGGCATTGAAGGTACCTAGCACATCACCTAATGACTGGATGCTGTAAACACATGCGAAAGCCATGAGTAGGGTATACAATTGCAAACATAACGCAAAGGAATGCTTGCTCAAATAATCGCTACCCAGATCTTCAAAGTGTCCATCTTCACCATCATAATTGCAGCAATCATCACGAATGCCACAGATGCAGCTCGAAGAATTTGTCTGTTGTTCAAATGCAGCTTCATTCTTCAGGCTGGGATACGATATAGGAGCGCGGCTGCCTTGAAATTGGGCGCCACACTGTAAAGGCAAAAAACCCTGACTTCTACGAGACTTTTGAAAGCCAGGGGTAGGCACGTGGCAGCAACCACCCTCAAAACCCCAAGAAGGTGGAATGTCAAAGCAAAAGGAGTGTGGCAAGAAAGCACACACTCTGAAGCACAAAAGAAACTATACCTAATGCATCTGCAACCTTGAAAAGTGGCGCACGAGTCACACCAGGTAAAAGAGCTCTGCATAGCTTCACGATCATACTCCCCATTACTGCCATCTGCAGAAGAGGAGAACACCTCTACGACATAGCATGCATAGAGGAACGCCTTCGCTCGGAGCTGACTGAAGCACTCGACGCACGCAACCTCTTCGGGGTCGTGTAGGGAGATACTCTTGCCGATCCGAAGGACCAGGGGGCTTGGTCGCTCCCAAATCGACTGGCCCATCGATCTGTGCCATCACTTGCTGTCCCAAAATCTCTACCTGTTCGGTAGTCTGGTAATTCTGCGGCTCTGCCTGGATCATAGCAAGGATGGTAGCATGGTGTTCTGTTGGCACATGATGCAACATCTGTGCAAGAGTCGCTTGCGTCACAGCCTCCAGGGCCTCCTTGTCTGCCTGCTTGGGGTGAGCCTTGCAGGGTGACCGGGAACGATCTCTCTTCACACCTGGTGTACCCCACAACTCCATCTCGCCAGTACTCAACTCTGGTGGATGTGCAAGCTTCGGTGGGACAACATGCTGAGGCGAGAGAGCCCCAGGGTCGCTCTGTTGGTTCTCCCGGAGTGTCTGCACCAAAGCTTGCATTTGCCCCACCAAACTTTGGTTCTTCGGCTCCATAGCATGGAAGTAATAGTTCATCTGTGCAAACTGTGCTTTCATCTGGTCCAGCTCCTGCTTCATAGCTGACTCGGTTGGAGGCTCCGCATCCTCCATCACATCGCCACCCTTTTCGACCTCCTTCAACTCGGAGTGGAGCTGTTTCATCTCTTCTGCATGGCGTTTGTCTTCTTGCTGGATCATCTCGAGATACCCATTCTTCCAAGCTGCATAGCTCTCTTCTTTGTCGGCAATGGAAGCCTGGAGCTTCTCGATGCGGGTAAGAGACTTCTTTTGGCGGTTGAGCTCTTTCTGCTGTTCTCGAAGTACATCGCGTGGATTCTCCACTACAAACTTCTTGTATGCATCTGGAACTTCCTCGCTCTCTCCTTCCTTCTGTCCAGCAAAGAACTTGACTGCTTCTCGAAGCTGCTTCAACTCCTCCTGAGAGGTAGAGGATGCCGAGGAAGAGCCATTGCCACTGGCGCCTTGCATAGGAAGGGCAAGCTTCCTTCCATCGTGTGCATACACCACTGACTTCTCTTTCTCTGTCTCCTTGCCTTTCTTGGCAACTTTCTCTTTGTCTTCTTTCTCCCACGCTTGCTTCCATTCTTGAGCGCGTGGGTTCCATGGCTTGTTCTTCCATGTCATTCTCACTGATCTCGAGGCAGGTGCGAGATCCGAGGCAACCTTGTACAAGGGTCGTGAGTGATGCCGTTGCAAAAAGTTCCTCAGGAACCGGAACCGTCCGCGCACACGGACTGGCAGGGTAGGACGGTCCTTGTGCTTGGCGATGAACCGCCGAGCACGTGAGCGTTTAGCTCGCAGCTGCCGGTGCCAGCTTGGACTCGCGGGTATGGCGCTAACAACCGCAGGCCCGAAAGGACGACACAGACGTGTCTGGGGCAAAGGTGGATCCTAGCTAAGCTAAGCAATCCTGAGCCCTATGTGTTCACCCTCCAAAACAATGGCTTTACTTTACGATTTCACCGATTCTGGGAGCTTCACAGCAGCGGGTCTCGGTCCGTTTCTGGTCGACGGCGGCACGCGCATCGCAGAGGAGACCTTCGGCGATAAGGGCTATTCGGGGTATCGGGTGAGCCCAACGGTCCAGCGACATGAAGCTCAAGGCGCAGGCCGGCCATTTTGGTGGGGGGCAAGGCCTTCATTCGGCCCGGGGGGGGAAGACACCGGGTGTGGACTGGGAAACCGGAGAAGAGTTGGCCTCCCAAAATGCTGTCAAATTCTGGCGGGGATGGTGAAGAGGTTGGGACAACAGAGTGATGACACTGGGAAGAGTGAGGATTTTCAAAGTTGACCCAGGCTGTCTGGTTCCGTCACAAGCATGTCATGAGGGAACCCTGAAGATCATTGGCGGTTCTGGCATAGGTGGATGAACTGAGTCTTTAGCTGAGCTTCTTGGGCCGCTTCCAGACACGTACCTTCTTGATCCTTCTTGATCGCTCAGCAAGTCTCAGGGCCAAAAACAGGTCAGCTTGCAGTTAGCTGAATCGCTGCAAAATGTGAATCTGTTTGTTGAACAATGCACCCGAAATGTCCCACATGTCAAACCTTGCTTGCTTTGGAGCGACCCAACTACTTGAGCTACCCTTGGCCCTTTTCAATAAGTAATCCCATTAGAATCTCTTACGTCTCTTAGAGGCATCTTTGCCAAAAGGGTAGCTTGGGATTTCTTTCAGAGAGGCGGAGAGGCGCCTTTGCACCGTCTTTTGCGGGTCGACTGAGTAGTTCCGTCACCCCTTCGCACCGCGCCCCGCTGCGCTTTCGTGCCACCTCGCGCTTCGCTTGGCCGCAGCCGAAAGCGGCCGCCAGGCGTTTACAGCTACTTTCGCGACTTCCAGTGCTTAGTCCCTAGCGGCTTTGTGGCGCCCAGCACCGATGGCGTGCTGAGCTCGGATGAGCACCTGCACCGTGTTTTTGTGTTTTTTAGGGGATTGTACAAAGATAATAGGTCTTGGTCATAGCATGTCTCAAAAGGGCCCAAGCAGTTCATCTAGAATGGCATGGTGAGATTGTCAGCAATTCATCTATATAGATTGTCTGAGATTCTTCTCGACAGGGAGTGACAAGTTGAAGTCCAAGTTCCCTCACTGTGTCAATCTCCAGTGGTGGCACAGTCGGGGGATGAGTTGGAGAAAGAGTAACGAAGAGCTGATGACTGCTTTTGAAGCATAAAATCATGCAGTCATGCCAGTGCAAGATTTCTTCCATCCGCAGTTGCAACTTCCTCATTGTGCTCCCTTCGAAAACGGGAGCTGACTGCCATAGGACCGGAACGGTCATGTTTCGAGCGGTATTAGACATGTCAAGTCATGTCTACTATGACAGACTTCTACATGTTTCGACACTACCGTTGATTTTTTCTAACACATGTTTCTAGCACACTCCAAAGAAGAGAACTGCTGTAGCTTCCAGCTCAAGCAGCACCACAGTCACCTTTTCCAAGCCGCACGTCGCCGCTCAGGTGCGCTTCACGAACGTATTCACACGCTTCCTGAACGGCAAGCCAGGACGTCCCACGCTTCACCGCCCCGCGGACGACGTGGATCCATCGCGTCGACTCTGAGATCGACACTGAGTGCTCGGTGGATGCGTGGTGTGAATAAGGCGAAAATACAATCCCTGGATGAAATAACCTCCTGCACTGGACCCCTTGCAACTGTCCAAACATGGTCAATCAGTCATGGGCATGTTATTTCTTTCGCTCTTTTGTTGCATGACTTCAATGGAGGTGCTGAAGTGAAACATGGCTCAGCGAGTGAGACGAAGTAAGGTCACTGAGAATCTCGCTGCCAAAGGATGTGAGAACGTGCCACGCGGCGCAATGCATGTGACATGCCTCGAGGATGATATGCGAGCACAGTGGGGTTTTATGGAATTGCACAGCAGGAGAGAATGATGTGACCCCAAACACCAAGCTGATATTAGGTCACCAGGTTGAACAGATTTCACTTTGTCACCAGACTTTCCGCGAGATCCAGGTCCGATCCATCGATCGGTATATCTCTTCATGTCCTTCAACCTGTTCAACCAGTCCTACCACCCCGTGAACCGCATGACTTGGACAAGACTGCGGGTTGCACGGGCCGGACGGGCCAGGAATTGAACACGTCCTTAACGACCAGGGCACGCCGGTCTTGGGCTTTGCAGATCCTTTGAGACTCTTGGGCGTTTTCCGCGGAGCCGACGAGTTGGGCGTGCTGGGGAACGATCAAACGGATGGGTGGATTTGGGGGGGACCCTGTGAGTTGGGGGGGGACCGTGTGGGTGGACAACGAAAAGTGTAGGAGTTTGGCCTAGGCGACCATGGAGTGCTTTGCTGTTGACTTGTTTAAGGTGGTGAAGTGGAAGTTGTGCATTGTCCTCACGTAGTTGCTCAAACCAATCATCAATCATCAATCATTAATCATCAATTTAATAGTAATATAGTCATAATAACAATCACCACCACCACCACCACCACCATCATCATCATCATCATCATCACCATCTCTTTGCTTAGCGGTTGCGGCTAGGGTCCGGGTAGCATCAAACATGTGTTTGGTAAACTGTTTTGTTTGAGGTAGCCTTCAGAGTTTGTCAGAGATCACCGATGGTGAGCCATGAAACTTCCGTGTTCCAAGTCCCAAACTTTGCCCAACTTTGCCCAACATGGCACTCGGGACAACCCGTTTTCAGTTTGACCAATTCACCCTATACTTGCTACTTCCCTTATCTTCATCAAAAAAGATTATGCAGAAATTGACCACAACCTTAATCAAAAAGCTGACATCTCTAAATCTGCTGATTTCGCCCATCCTCAATCCTCAGTAGGTTCATGTACGCTCATGTCTCAACTCTCGGCAGAGTCGCTTGCTCAGTGCTCAGGCCGTTTGCCCAGCTCCATCCCAAGTCCACCGAAGAGTCCACGAGCGCACCACAGACGAGGCGACGTGGGATGCCGGAAGATGTGCGAGGTTCATTAGTAGTAGCAAGAAGCTAGTAGTATCAAGGGCATCGCGGCATCGCTACTAGTAAGGGCATTACTACTAGTGGTAAGAAGCTACTAGTAGGTGAGGAGAAATTTGAAAGACACCTGAGATGAGGCAGACCATTCCAAGACTGACTGACTGATTTTTCTTGCTGACTTATACTTACTTTCTTGTACTCCACTCTTTTATTTCCTGACCATTATATACTATCCATTACTTATATATACGTACTTGCTTTGTATAGTTTGCTTACTTCTCACTTACTTGCTTGCTTGCTTGCTTGCTTAATTACTTACTTACGTAATTGCGTACTTACTTGCGTACTTAATCCGTACTTGCTTACTTACTTGCATTCTCACTCACTCACCTACTGATTACCTGACTTGCTTTCTTACTTGCTTATACTTACTTACGTGTTTGTTTATGTTGTGGGTGATAGGTTGTGCAGGATCCTTCATCGTGACACCCTGTTTTGGTTTGAGAGTGTGCGGGGGTTGGCTGCAGCTGTTGTTTGACTGGCCTGAAGCTACGCGACGCAAGTAACAACTCCTTTTGCTGGCCATGAATTATAACAAGCGAACATTTCCACAGATGATGACTTCCCATGCATGTGCACGAGGTGGGATGTGTTCCTTTTACAGGACATTGCGCCCTCAAGAACCTTGTCAAAGGTGTTATTTCCCTGGTTCAAAAGATTGCTACCTTCTCCGTGGTGTTTGAAGTCTTACTGCCCAGACGCTCCAAACAGCCCTTGGTCCCGCAAAACTTAGGGATTGGTTCGACCCTCCATATGAGGGTCCAGGGTCGCGTTTGGGTAGTCGTTCGAACTGCCGATTCATAGAGCGAGGCATCCCGCTCTGGACGGTCTTCTTGGTCGGCATCGTTTGCGCCGCTCTGGGGTGGCTGGCGAGTATGTTCTTCTTCCGGGTCCTGGGAAAAGGCGCCTTCGCACGATGACGCATGTGCGGTGGACCAGCGCAGCAGATCGTTGACCAGCGCCGGGAATAGGAAAGGCATCTCCAGATATGCATTGGGAGCAACAAATCAACATAAACGCAAGACTAGCAAAACCCCACTTTGCGCTGATTGGCAAATGCAAGAATGAATCCATGCAAACCGAAGAATGCATAATATTATTAATATATTTTACAATTTCAATTCTGTTTGCACTATAGAACGCTTTAAAACACCTTTCACAGACCCAAAAAGCTCTAAGACTGGTTTGGACAATTGAATTTGTGCATGTCCCTCAATATGGCGATAGTCACGTGGGCCATGGGAATTGGGTGTTGACAACCGGGACACCTTGATGTGTCGAGTACCGACTCATATGAAGAACAATGACATGGGAAGAATGTATGACTTACGGAAGTCGTGTCTTGTGACTAAGACTTAGAATGCATAAATGTACATGACATACCTGACCTGACTTTCTCATCAACCATATCTTACGTTCCTATGACTTTCCTGTACCCCAAAACCATCCAGTGGTAAACTATAGCAAGAAACCAGTGGTTGCCAAAGACTAAAAACATACCAGCAGTCACAAGACGCAGTGCTATCCATGGAGGTTAGTGCCCAGCTACTCCACTCACGACTTGGGGACTAAACACCACCCCATCTTGTGACTCCTGGTAGATCGTGCTCTGCCTGGCATCCGCGCGACGCGTCGAGCGACGGTGCGAGGCGCCCGCAGCTACGACACCGCCACCTCGGACTGCGAGTCGGACGCCAGCAAGTCCTGAGCAGCGCCAGCAAGTGCGGATGACACAAGCATAGGCAATATAAGTCCAGTCACATATATAGCAGTATTGGCATTCATGCTGTTTTTCCTTACAGAAAGGGGTTTAGTGGATGTTTTTTTTTTTTCTCGGGGGGCATTCTTTCTTGGAAGCAGAAGGAGATGTTTGGAAGCGTGGAAATCCGTTGGGAGGGTCGAGGGATATCCATTGGGATCTTGATGTTCGTGGCCGCTTTGGACCCGACATGCGCCATCGATTTCAGACCAAAAAGATCCTCAGCTGCGGTATTTGGAGCCAGTGTGGTGATACTAGACACTGCCACTTGGGCATTTTGGTAGTGGGTGACTTACACCTATTCCATATATCCCACGGAATCTGAAACCGATTTGCAGAGGACCCAGATTCCGTGTCGTCCAAGTCCGAGGCACGCATGTTTTTTGGGATGTCCGATTCAGCGATACATGTGTGCCTCGGGGGTCCGCAGGGGTCCAACAGGTCCAACACATGGTTTGCGGTGACTGTTGTTGTCTGAATGCACATTGTAACGTGCATCTGGATCTGTTGGAGCACTCCACCTGGTCTCAGACGTGGATGCTGGAGCCTACCACTCTCACTGTCCAAGCTTGATTGACGGGTTGCCCACTTGGGAAATTCCACCAAGTGGAGTACTTAGCTCGATCGGAGACCATGTTTAACCTTCTGATCCACGCTCAACCCGTGCCACGCAGGCTCAGGCAGGCTCAGGCCCTGATCGGCGCCCCGACTCGAGGACCTGTACCTCAGCTTAGTGGAACACGGCAACGGGCGAAACCTCATGCTGCCGGTCTCCGCGCGGAGCTCAGACAGGACTCAGTGCAAGAGTGAAGAGAAGGTGTTGTTTGAATCGTTTGCGCTTGGTTTGGCTACAAGAAGTGTTGAGTTTTGGTGCAAGGGTTCTCATGCGGTGCAAACGTTAATTTCAGGAACGTTGTCGCTCGGTGGGTCCAAGACCGTCCGGCTTGAGATCAAAATTTGTTCCGTTCTAAGGAATATTCTTGTCGTCAGGCGCTGGGCTCCCTTTGCAAAGAAAACATCTCGGAGGACAATGGACTACCCAAATAAGGGCTCCTGTAATGTTGACTCTTGATTCTTTACCCAAGATTGACAATTCTCCACTGGGGGTCACTATGGATTATATATATATATACGTAGCAGTATATTTACTATAGTATGATATACTCCAGATTCTAGAAACAACATTTAGTACAAATTAATCCATATAGTGATCCCAGTGGAGAGGATTGTCCACGTTTCCAGAAGTGGTCCTCTCAAACCCACCCGACCTCCGGTGTCTCCGGTGTTTGCCGTCCCAGGCTCAAGGGCGGATGGCTCGAAGTCACCTGCCACAGCAGTTCGGAGAACCTAGACAACGAGTGGCGGTCGGACCGACAACGGTCTGGGTGGGCGGATTGACACAGTGAGAGTAATATTTTATTCATACGAGTTGTAAAGAAATGCATTGCCACAGAAACAGGATATTGTATTGATAATTTATATTGAAACAGTTTGGCGGATTGACACACTACCTACTCTCCTGTTTTCCTTTATATGATCTTATGTTTCAATGTGAATGTTTGATCTCAAGTCTCTCGAGGGATAGGGGTAGGTTCGACTGTTCATGGTTCGTGGCAGCGAATTTGATCTTCGAGTTGGGTGGCGTGCCTGAACGTGCGGGAGAAGCTGAAGGTTGAGGCAGAGCGCTTGGGCACAGGCTCTTTCGCCATTGCTTTTTTGTTTTTCTTGCTGGTTTGAGAGTTCGGGAATGAGAAGAATATCAAGACCTAAAGAAGGAGATCAAGTTTTTCTCAAGCTAGATGAATATTCGCCTTCATGGCGGCAGGCTCTGGTGATACACTGCAGCTCACGAAACCGTGTGATCCTTGTAGTGAGAGTGACGAACCCAGAGATAGAAGAAAGAACAGACGAAGTAAGTTTTTTCGAGGCCAAGGGGCAGAAGTTCATTTTAGTCGAGGGAGGAAAAGAGCAGCTGCGACCCACTTGTGCTCATGCACACCGAGCTTTGGAAGTCAGCCCCAGCTTCTTGTTGGAGAAGGGGAAGGAACTTCTGACCAAAGACGAACTTTTGTACGTCACTGCTTCGGAAGACCTGCCAGTAGAGAAGACCAAGAGAGAACAAACCCAGAAAGAGGAGATTTCGTCGTCGGACGACTTGGGAGCTTCGGACAGCGAAGGAGAGGATGCCGTCATGAACCTGCTGTTGAAAGCTCAAGGCAGCAGGCCAAAAAAGGCTACCAGTTCCGTGTCAAAGAGAAAAGACAGCGAGTCCAAGACGGTGAGGTACCCGCTCCTAGAAGGGCAAAAGAACCAGAAAAGCGCTTCAGCCGTTGGGTTCGACAAGCTGGTGGAGCGAATCGTTGCTGCCGAGGGCCAGGAGCCAGCAGAGACCAACCTCAACACGCTCCTGAGCTTAGAAGTTCTCAAGTCCTTGAAGGACAAGAAGTCGAAGAGGAGGATGTCAAGCACCGAGCGGTCCAGCGAAAGCGATACAAGCTCGTCGGACTCAGACGACCCGAGGCCGAGAGGTGCCGGGAAGGCACGCAGAGATTTCCGACAAGTGCATCACAAGATGAAGAAGAGACCTTTGAAGCATGTGAAAAAATATGTCAAAGAAGTAGAGGAGAATCTGGGGGTCACCAAACACACCCCCTACAGCCTTTCGGATTACAGCAAGTGCTTGAACTGGGGAAAGAACAAGACATTGATGCGAGTGCACTACGCCGTGTCAAAACTGCTACAGAGTCAGCTCAGTGGAAAGCACGAAAGGGCCAGCCTGCAGGCAGTTCAGTTGCTACGCGCTTTGCACCAAGTCTCTCTGGATCAGGGATCGTGGAAAACCGGGAGCCTGTTGATGTCGCACGCCGACCCTCTCGAAGGTCCCAAGTTCGGAGGGGAGCCAGACCAGTTAGAAAAGATTGCCTCTTACGTGAAAGCCATGACAGAGCTAGAAAAGAGGAGCCTTCACGGTGGAGGGCAAGAGGACGACAGCCAAGAGAAGAAAGGCCGAGGAAAAGGCAAGAATCGCAGCAAGACCGAGGTGCACGACGAGATCAGCAAAGGGTGAGCAGAGTTAATGCACCGAACGCAGAGGGCATCGATGTGTGCTCATTGTTAGGACTAATTAGCAAACAGCATGGTTCTTTTTCGAGATTCATGCGAATCTACAATAGGTCTCGAGACTCGAAACGAGGCGAAGGGACGAACGCCCCACCCAGCTGGGGAGAACACAGTCACATTGTTCCCGTCAATGCTCCCATGGGATAAGCCGCCAGGTAAGTCTAGGAGTAGGAGACGAGGCCCACGTTCAAACGCCAGACGTGCGGCTTTAGAGTGGATGCACACTGCTTGGGGGTTCTTCAACTTTCTAGAGGGGGGTTCGCCCTGCCGTGCATTTGCAGCCCAGTCGGTCGTGGACAGAGCCTGTCAAGGGGTGTGGACTGCCACGCATGAGACTTATGCCAGAGCAATGTTTTCCAATGTGCTTAGATACTTGAACCATCCTAGGGGGACCTTGGAGCGGGGCACGTCTAAGCTTGATGCATTAATTAGTAGAATTAGTTTAAGCATGTATGACCCCACCATTAGTTTTGATGATGCAATTTCAGGGGCGCTCACAGTAAACCCTGATAGGATATCGCTACCTGAGCAAGCCGCCATTCTTGACCCAAAGAACCACTTGAAGGGGGAGAGACTGCAGGAGTTCACCACCATGTGCAAGTGGGTACCGGTTGAGCCTGAGGTTTGCAGAGACCCCAAGCCTTGCCACAAAGTAGATCCCCAAAATTGGGCTCCTCTGCTCAAAAAGTTGTATGACGCCAGTATGATCGAGTTCATACCCGTTGAAGAGGCTGTGCATGTTGGGCACAAAGTCATAAAAGGGGGCCTTTTCTGTGTGGGCCACAAGCCGACTTCAGACCGACTGATCAACGACCGCCGCCCATTGAACATCCGCGAGCGTCGTTTGAACTGGTGCTCTCTGCCGGCAGGACCCATGTTAGGCCAGCTGATCCTGAGAAATGACCAAAGTATCAGGTGTTCGGGGGATGACCTGTCCAACTATTTTTACCTCATCAAGCATTTGGATTCGTGGTTGCGCAGAAATTGCTTTGGAGACCCCATCAAGGGATCAGAACTGCCGGGGCTTGGTTTGGATAGTCATAAACGGTACCTGCCAGCTTTCCGAGTGGTTTGCATGGGCGACACCAACGGTGTCGAAATTGCTCAGGCCACGCATGAAGCGGTCTTGCAAGAAGTCGGATGCCTGCGAGAACACCAGACCCTGGTATATGGTAGGATTTTTCCCGCTTCAAACACATTAGAGGGACTTTACATTGATGATCACCTTGTGTTCCAGGTGTGCGATAAAAAGGTAGATAGGGACCGACCGACTGCTGAGGACGAACAATTAATTGCACAGTCACGCTCGCAATACAAGAAATTAGGGCTCCCAGTTTCAGCAAAGAAAGCGCTAAACAAGGAGTATTCTTTCAAAGCATGGGGAACCGCTGTGTGCTACGCAGTCAGGGCGTGTCGGGGCGCCCTATGAGAAGCTTCGCCAAATCGAACACCTGGCATGTAGATTGTTGTTGGAAGGCAGGGCATCCAAGAAGGCTCTACAAAAGCTAATAGGGCTTTTCGTTCATCCCTTCATGCATCGTAGGGAGTGTATGTCCGTATTTCACCATGTGTATATCTTCATTGAGAACATGTGTGAGAAATCTATTTCGAGGCTCCCACGTACGAGATGAAATAGCATGCGCAGCACTTTTGTTGCCCTTTGCCCACACAAACATTCGCAAGCCAGTGTCCGTGCAGATATCAGCGACAGATGCCAGCAGTAAGGGGGGAGGACGATCTTCAGCCATCACTTCTCCAAGCTTTGCAAAAACTTTGTTTCGGTTCGCTGAAGTAAAAGGGGAACATGTAAAACTAGACTGGGTTAAGCATGGCATCGAGCCCCCATCTTCAATGTGTCAAGCTCCGACTCCTCTAGTA